TTTAACATTCTAATAAAAAAAATTTATTGTGCTTTAAGTTGTATAATCTTTTTCATGTTTTTGTTCTTGTTTATATTTCATGTGGTGGCTATTAAATTTATCTTCCTTAATATTGAGCATAATTTTTTATATGTACATTCGTGTTTTGGGCACAGTCCATAACATTTTCTTCAAAGATAAATTTTACCATCAGTGTATATTTCCGATTCATCAGTGATAATGAGATTGCTAAGAACTTTCCTTTTGCCTCTCTAACCACACTGTAGTATATATGGTGAATTCATCATGCTGATCTCTATGTTTTTGTTGTCCTCAAGATGAATCTGTCTTGTGAAGAGCTGTAAGTTAGGAGACAGTTATTCACTGCAAGTTTGTAACTTATTTTCAAGCAATGTTAAAATAAATTTTAAACATACTTTTCTTTTAGATTACATCTAGGTTATAGTTTACCTAGAAGTAGTACATGTATATAGTTTTATATGATAAACTGTATTTATTTTATATATTAAATTGACTTTGAAAGCTAAAAGTAATATACATTATAAGGTTTTAACTGAATGTGCATGGGGTTAGTCCATTTACAAAGTTTATCATCTCAAAATGTGACCAACTTTTATTCAACAGTACAACTCTATTGTCACAAAATACCAAATGTGCTACTAAGTTTTTGTACTAAAGATATGTATGTGAAATGCCATCATCCATCTGATCGAAGTAATTATACTCAAATACTTTAATTGTGGAAAAATTGAGAGCTTTAATTGTGACATATCCTTTCTTTTTTACCATTTGGGTTGTGCATGTACCTCTTAAAACTCATTCCTGAATAAATACATGAATTCATGAGATGCTTCTCTAGTAATGGGTATCAATTTCATGTTAAAAGAAACACACCAGGACCTTTGTTAGCTCTTAGATTTAGTCTTTAGGTATTCATATTTTAATGCAATCCAGTAACATCATAATATTAATTGTTTGTTAAGCCTCTGATTGAGAAATTTATTTTTGTTGTTAAAAGAGCAAGAGTTGTATGGGAATGTTTAGCTTGATTCGTAAGTGCTATACCAGTTGGTTTTTCCTCATTTCTTGTACTTTGCTATTAACAGACTGGTTTCTGTACAAATATCAGGTAGGTCTGGCTTATAATGGGAGATTGAACAGAAGATTTATGAACTAACCTGAATTTGAAAACAGACTGAATTTTAAGCTATGTGAGAAATAAGTAGACTGGATAAGTGTGATGTAAAGTGAAACAACCTTTATTAAAACAAAGCAAAAAAAAAGGTGTATGTACTCATGTAGACAAATAGATGATCACTTTACTGGATTAGTGAATAGATCAGCAGCTTTCCTTCTCTCATGTTGACACCTGCAGGCCTCAGGCTGGACATCCAGTGTCTGTTGATCAAGTGACAGAGTGGCTTTGATCATTTGCTAGGTGTTATGTCTGTCATCTTCATCTAGGTTGGCATCTCTTCACTACAGTGGTCCATTAAGCAATTGAAAATGCTTTGGAAACACTGCAAGAAGAGATGGAAAATTGATGGCTAGGGCAGGATCAAGGTAGCTAGAAGAATTCAGAGTTTGATCCTCTATATAGAAGTACAGATTCCAATGTAAGGTCTGGTGAATTCCATTGATCAAAAGCTCAGCTGAGTGTGTGGATTTAAAGGGTTGTAATGCACTTAACTATGATATAATGTATTAAAATGACATGTCTACAGGCTTTGTATGTACTCGCACACTGTATCGTCCATAGAATGTGTACCCCAAAATCTTTCCAGGCTTCTAAGGGTCTCTCCTTGACTAATTACCTGTTGCCATACAATTCTTTTTTGTTCCTTTTGGACAGTTAGAACACATGCCATATCTTTTGATCCAGCCTTATTCTTCTTCCTACCATCTGTTGTCATGTAGATATTGCCTGGTTCCAGTAGTAGTGCATCTTGTAATGAAAAAAAAGAACATTAAGAAAATATTCAGAAAACTATTTAATTATTAAAAATATTCCAATCTGGATAGCTGAAAATATTCGTATCACAACCAAATAAAACTCATGGTACATGAAATTTATATTTGTTATGTTATCTAAGCTACAGTATGTGAATTTTATTTAAAGGTAATTTTATTCACTCATGAGTATTTCAACTCGATCCAGTTCAAATATATCTTTTACTACTATTTATGAGAAACAAGTAAAAGTGTGTTGTAGAACATCCAGATAAAACCTGAGATAAAACTGTCTTTTTGTTATTTTTATTTCTTCCAATAAAACTCACTATGTATTTAATATTTCATTGTCAAAATTGAAACATTCTCTTACTATAATCAGTGAAAATAACAGGAATACTGCTTTCCAGGCCACTTATCACAATTAACCTTGTACTCACCAATTCTTAAATTGAGGTCAAATCCAATTGTGCAAATTATTGATGTACTTGGTATTATATCTATTCCCTCCAGCTATCTTAGTGCCTGCTGACTGAGTATTAACCATTTATTGTAGTGCATATATGGTATTTCACATTATCACTCAGAGGCTTCAGAAAGTAAGGGTCATGACACCCTTTCATTCAGTCATGGAATTTTCAGTCATATAACTATTCTAGCTGTTGATGATCAGATGGTAATCCTTCAATGTAGTACAAGCACTGAATCCAGTACCATTCAAGGCTCAAACTAATGGGCACAAAGCCCCTTCAATCATTGGTCACTTGCTGTAGCCCCCCCAGTGGCACA